GTATTTATTTTTGAGGATGTGTGTACTGAATCTCCAGCGATTCAAAATCGTATCATTCCATTTTTTAATAGAGGACGACATAACAATATCTCTGCTATTTATATTTCACATAAATTTACTCAAGTTCCAAAAATCATTTGTCAGAATGCAACGCATCTTGTATTATTTAATGGTGGAGGATCCACAGAAGATATTGCACGAATTATAAGACAATACATAGAAGAAGATCCACGTAAAGCTTCTAAAATCATCAATAATTATTTACGGGATGGCGAATTCATTGTCTTCGATACCACTGTGCCAATTTCTGATCCTATGTCCATTAGGATCGGCTGGATGAATCCTCTAAACCTGGAAAAAGAGATCAAATTAAAAATTGCGTAATAAAGAAAATGAATTATGATCGAAATTTTTTAGTGGGACTTATCTTCCGTTTCCTGTAATTGAAACTTTTTTCTTCGATTTCATATAAAAAAGATGCCATTCCAGTTAGTTTGATCTACGTATCCCAAAGATTTTTTTGACTGCCCAATAATAATAAGAAAAAAATATGGAATTCATTGTACTTTTTAATGGCACTGGTACGTATGATGAACTAGTTGACATTCTACAGCGATATACAAAAAAACACATACTTTTGATCTACAAATTTTTCACAGCCATTATTAAGATAATATCCCGGATTCTGTACCCATTTAAGCAGTATCCACCAGGGAATGTATTCAAAGCGATTAACTAATCTGTAATTACATTGCTTTAATATATCTCTAACGTCATTACACCATCTCACGTTTAATTGACTTTGCTTACTACCTGCCCATTCTTCGGAAGTATAAAATCTCCCCCTAATATTTTCTGCATCTTCCCGATTTTTAGCTCGAACTTTCATTCCATATTGATCTTTAACAAAATACCTTTGAGGTTCAGAACCTTCTACTATAATACGAGGATATTCGCCGAAATATTTCTTTTCATTAGGAGTACCATCATTTCTCGCCGCATTCCAAGCTTTGGATGCTAAGTATTCAGGTCTCTTCTTGAAATTTCTATAAGATTGCTGTATAATCCTTGCACGTCCAAAATCAGTTTTAGGTCTAGAGCACTCGTTATCCCAATGATCCTGCATCAGGTCTTTAGGTTTAACCATTTCCGAATATCTTTGATAACAATAGTCAAACGTTTTCTTAGGCTTTATATGTACATTAGCACGAAATAGCTTCCAACACGAGAAACAGATAGCAGTCCCATTCTTAAGTGATTTTGGTCTGTAGTAATTTTGGAAATCATTATAACCTACAAGCCTGCCTCTAGGATAAGAGGCGAATATGCAATATCTATGATACGTGCTAAATTTTTTCTCGATTAATAAATCTCGAAGATTGGCTCTAACCCGTACGGCCCATTGGATAACATTTTCTTTCTGTCTCACGATGGACAAGTTATTATATGATTTTTCGATATCAAAAGAGTTTCTCAAATTCTTCAACATAATAAATAGGAAAATAATTGTTGATGTATGACACAACATACTTTATATCATAACCAGGACGATTATTAAAGGGTTTGGGTAATGGTCTTTGTTTGTTACCGAGAATAATATTGATATCTAAACCAGACATATTTAGCATTTAATAGTTTGTATGTGATTTATTATTAACCTATAGTCTAAGAGTACATGATTCATTTTTAATAAAGCGAAGGTAATACTTGATATATGGGAAAAAATATTAATATATTAATATATATTAATATAAACATTAATACGCATGATTTTTAAGAATCTAAACCATGTGTAGTTAATCCAATCTTGATAATCGCACAAATATATCAACTGACCTCTATGAAATTCTAATAATAGTAAACTAGCTCGATTGCGCACGAGAACACAAAAAGTGATGTATATGGATTAGATTACAAACATAAACATATTAATGAAAAATAGCCAGAACACATCTATTCGTTCCACAATGATTTTCTTGTGATACCGCTAAAATCATTTTCTATCATTACATATATAATATTAATAATAAAGTCTTTTTCTTATTGTATATGGTTTCTCCGATAAGAAGAAATGTTAATGAAACCTGAAAAGGATAAAAGAATGGAAGGTTTATTGTTCTTATCAGTAATAATATCAAATTTCATACGTTATGGAACTTGAGATCTTTACCATCTCCGAAGATCGCCAAAATTTGACTTGTTTTTCATTCTACAAAAGCGATCAGCAGTTTGAAAAGCTTAATTTACTCCATAGATGACGAAATATACTCAGTGCTTGGCGCCTATGTCTTAATAGAATTGCCTTGTGAAGAAAGGATCTGGAAAATAGTTGGGGGCAACATAATTACCAATCATGTAATTTTTTCTTCTGGCAGGTTCTCAGGTTTAGCAAATGGAACAATATAAATAAACCCGGATTTGTGAGGTAGGTAGAATAATATTGCTTATATTTTTTATCGAAAAAAAAGTTTACAATGGAAGGAATGAAAGGAATCTTACAGTTAAAATTGGTAAATAAATTATCCTATTGACCTTATGCACATATTGTACTTTTTACAAAAGATAAAAACGATATTTTTACATAGTGGGGCTGGATGAAATTTACCTCGCTGTTTATGATGGGGGAGATAATAAAATGGACGAAGAAACTCTAAAGAAAGAACAAAGTGAATCTACTACGTTGTAAGTTACATGGTTTCTCTAATGGTTCTATAATGAGACCATATATATTTCACTTTCACCATTCTGTATAATTATATATCAGTTCAAAAAATGGAAATTGGTGCGTATTTAAAGACAAATAACGAAAAAATATCTCTCAGAAATGTCATTGAAATCCGGGACAACCAGAGGAACATACAGAAGAAGGGGTACGATTACAATTGGTATTTCATGATTCTAGAGGAGATGGTTATACAGAAAATTTCGGTGCTATATAGCAAAACAAAAAAATAATAATATTTATATATTTTTAATATATGTCTTTATATATTTTTAATAAATATTACGCTTTATACTTGATTAAAAGTAATTATCAATTATAATACCAATATTTCTCGCTTTGAGATCTTCCCTAACCTTGATCTTCCGATATCTATTTTTCAGGTATATAAATGAATTAGAAGAAATTCAAGCTTGATAATCCTTTCGCATAATCAATCAGATAATCAATATGTTGTACGCTGTGCAAGAAAATTATTTTAGAATTTCGATATTTAATTATCTCATGGTCATATATATTTCTTTGTGAAAGCGAAGCCTTTAGTAAAACTAAAATGCAACGGGCTCAATGACACATAAAACATTAAAAAGTAATTTTACATATGTCGGGATATAGAGACATTTATATGTGCGCGTTCAGTTTCGCAACGTCGATCAACTTTTGTTAAGAAAAAAAATTGAAGTCATTTATCCATATTAATATAGATATATCAAATATGTCTCGAAAATCTAAAAATAACAGACGCAAAACTCAAGGAAGATTTCAATTTCAAAACCGAGATAAGTACACATATATAATTGATGAAGATCACATAACTATAATAAATAGGAATACTCAAGATACGAAAGTGGTATTTAATTATGAAGAGGTATGTAGATATCTAGTACTAGAGGCAAATAATCTCGATTCGAATATTCTCAGTATTTAACTGACTGATTTTTTTTTAATGCATATATCGTTAATTTCACTGACTCAAGGTCAGGCAAAAGTAAATGAAAGATTAATATTAGGAAAAATTCGAGGAATATTGATACAGAAATAAAAACAAATTACGAAAAATATATAAATTAATTGTGAAATGGGGAGGAAACAGTTGGGCTTCGGCGCACCTTTCGAGGAGGGTGTGAAGTAGCCTGTTCCAGCGCCTGCACGAGCAAACTCTTGTTCACAATTACAATATTTCTTAAGGTCAATAACAATCGCATCAGAGGCTTTACACGCCACGACATGTCCAAAGTCAATGGAATTTCTGCTTGATCCAGATGGAAGTATCTTGGTATTCCACTCGCATCATTTATGAGAACATTCAAATAAATTTTCTCGCCGGCTACCTGGATTCCAACTACACCGAACTGATTGCAAATAGGCCTACATACAGAATTTATATAGCTAACCCCGTCCAATAATTCTCTCCATAATTTTGTGTCATCATCTACCTTTTTAGTAGCACTGCAGACGATGCGCGAACTTTCTGCGAATAAAAATTCCACCAATCTCCCATTGCATTTTTCTAACGCCATGACATCAGGCTTTTTGCCCATTTTTTTCCTACCTGTTCCATCGTTTCTACGTGCCTTGCTTGCCAAGCTTTGGCGCTCAGCTGTGCTTAAACAAATACGGCCATTTGGCAGATCTCCAAGAGTGGCTCGAAGTAAAGGCATGATCACATCCGTGATATAAGTCCCTTCACTTTGCATATTACGGGTCACGCTTGTCTCAAAAGCTGGATTATTCCACACTTCTCCTCTAAATTTATGAATATAGATAGATTAAGTTAGTCTGGAAATACACATATAAAAAAATTACTAATTATTTACAATATATTAAGTATTCGTTCAGCTATTTTTTCTAAGTCAGATTCGTTCTCCTTCCATAATCCATTATGCGTAATATTTCTGAAATAATCTGGAACGCCTATTTCATTAAAATTATTTACAAACTCGACGCACTTAAAAGAAACTGAGTCTGGGAGTTTGCATCTCATGTTCTCTCGAGGCTCCTAAATAATATACAGTATATATAATTGTTTATAAATAAACTTCACAAGATATTTTTCAATGTAATCGAATTTCATTAATATATTAATATATTAATATACTGTGTATTATTATTATTACCGAAAAAATACGTTTCTGTTTCCGACCTAGTCCATTTACCACCACCGAATCATCACTGAGAACAGTACTTGCAATTGGATCCTTCCAAGTAAGTTCAGAAACATCTACTAAATCATCTATTCCACTCTTAAGAGCATCATAAAGAATTCCGTCCGCAATTGTCATAGGAGAATTAAGCTTCGATTTCAATGTTCTAAAATTCTGTACGATTTCCTCTCGTGTACAATCTGGATCCGATTCTTGAGGTATATTCAGTGCCTTTAATGCTTTTAAACCAACGATAGTATTATATCCATGCTCCATCTACAGCAAATGTAATAAGTTAAATATGTGATCACATAATAATACAATGATATATCCCTCCTATATAAGTAGTGGGTCATGATCCCACATCCTCGAGGGTCTTATGACATTCAAATAATCAGATATAACTTTCAATAAATATAAGCTTCTGAAATGGCCACGCACATCCAAGGGGGAGCAGAAACCCTCGATGTCATGAGGAAAAATTCCTGGCTACATCGCTCTTCCGGGCCGGCATTCCTCAGACTTTAGCAATGGCCAGCTAAACTAACAGCTTATACATTTGCTATATTTCATCATTAATTAACCCAAGTATGATGCATATTTGATATAACTAACCTGTGGCAATATCTCCAATATCTTAGTTTTTCGATTAGAGTCTTCTATTTTTAACGAGGCGGAACTAATTGCACGATCAGTCAAACTCCTAATTGTGTTGTAGTCAGCCACTTTATCATCCTCCATTGTTAAATAAAAAATTGAGCCACTGCAAATAGCTTCCAAAGGGGCTTCCAACAGAAAAGATTCGATTTTTGCTATTAATTTTGCCATGTTTGAAAAAATAGATATTTTAATAAGTATATGATGCACGATACAAAAATCACTTAATAACAGCGATAAAAATCGATACACTGTCCTTTTAAACGCCAAGAATTCCTCTCACAAAGAAAATGAATGTACATGAATGCTAATTAATCGAATTTGGTTAATTGCACAAACAAACATGCATGCATATTACATATTTACATTATATATATAGTCAGGTGGTCGTACGCATCGAAATTTTGAAAACCTAAGTTGCACAGCCCCGTTAAAATGTCGTATGATATAATTGATTATCTGATTGATTATGCACATCCTCGATTACAAAATTTGTTTTCCTAATCATTTAAGAAATTCAAATTTGATAATCTATCCGCAAGTGAGCAGAGACCATTCTGGGAACACAAAATTTTAACCCACGCAATTTGTTGATTGACCAATTAAAATCGTGAATTTGATAATGTAATAAATTCATTTTGTCAACAATCACTTCACCAACAATTATTTTGTTAACGAATTTAAGAAGTTGGTAACCACACGACAAACCATTGAAACAGTCTAATAAATTAAATCGTACTACTCGAAAATGTATTTAAAGGATTGGTT